TTTTTTTTTTTTTTTTTTTTTTTTTTTTTTTTTTTTTTTTTTTTTCTCCTGTATATCTTCTGCCCACACTCCAGCTCAGTAGGTGGCGGTAATGCACCTTACAGTTGGTCTGCCAACCGCCATAAAACAATACTAGAAGAAGAAGAAGAAGAAGAAGAAGAAGAAGAAGAAGAAGAAGAAGAAGAAGAAGAAGAAGAAGAAGAAAACTACAGTCGAATCAGCATTAGATTTAACTTTAATTTCAGAAAGTCTTGCTGGGATTAGTAATTGGCAAGTATTAAAAGAATCAACTATAGGAAGTGATCATTATCCTATATTCATTGAAATCGGTTTGGAAATGGAAGCATTTGACAATGAAGGTGTAGAAAGATGGATCTTTGGAAGTGCTGATTGGGAAAAATATAAAATAATAAGTGATAAAGAAATGCAAATAGTTAATATTGATTTAGATATTGACAATTTAAATCTTTCTATTTGTGAAGCCATTTTAGGTGCTGCACGTGAAGCAGTCCAAAGAAAGAGAGGAAAATATAAGAAGAAAGTCGTACCGTGGTGGACAAAGGATTGTGATGTAGCAATAAAATCTCGAAATAAAGCTTTTAGATTGTTAAAAAGAAATCATAACTTTCAGAATTTTATTGAATATAAAAGGTTGCAAGCTCTTGTTAGAAGAACTGTAAAAAATGCAAAAAAGGTTTATTGGGGAAACTTTTGTAATTCGGTAGGTAGGGAAACAAACATTTCAAAAGTTTGGGGGATGATAAAACGAATGAATGGGTTTAGAAGAGAATATGGATATCCAGTTCTGAAGGATGGAGATGTTACTGCTGTAACAGAGGAAGAGAAGGCAAACATTTTGGTCAATCATTTTGTTAAAATCCACAATAGTAGTAATCTAAGTACAGAAGAGAAACAGAGTAGAAATTGTACAATCAATGAAAATATTCATTTATTAAAAGAAAATATAAGATCCACTGACTTATTAAATGCTCCCTTTTCCTTTTTTGAACTGAATAATGCCCTTAGGAAATCAAAAAACTCATCTCCAGGAAATGACAATATCTCTTACATTATGATTAATCAGCTTAGTAATTCATCTAAAAAAGTTTTACTGGAATTATATAATAAGATCTGGGAATTAGGCTTTTTACCTAAAGCATGGAAAGAAGCAATCATAGTTCCAATCCTCAAGTCAGGTAAAGAACGATCAAACCCAGCCAGTTATAGACCTATAGCTTTAACTTCACATTTATGTAAAATTATGGAGAGAATGATAAATGAACGACTGACTTACTTTGTTGAGAAGAGGGGATATTTATCAAGATTCCAAAGTGGATTTAGAAAAGGTAGAAACACTATGGATCCTGTTTTATGTTTAGAACATGAAATCAGGAAAGGACAAGTTAATAAGGAGAGTGTGGTGGCTGTCTTTTTTGATATAGAGAAAGCTTACGATATGATGTGGAAGGAAGGTTTATTAATAAAACTAAAAAAGATGGGAATAAATGGTTCAATGTTTTATTGGATAAAAGATTTTTTACAAGATCGATCAATACAAGTGAGAATAGGAAAAACATTTTCAGAAAAATTTTTGGTTGAAAATGGAACTCCCCAAGGAAGTATATTGAGCCCGTTGTTTTTTTCTATTATGATTAATGATATGTTTGAAAATTTGGAGAATGGAATGGGGTTTTCTTTATTTGCTGATGATGGGGCAATCTGGAAGAGGGGGAAAAATTTAAATTATATTGTAAAAAAGACACAAGAAGCAATTAATGAAATAGAAAACTGGTCCTTTAAATGGGGATTCAAAATTTCTATAGATAAAACGAAGACTTTATTTTTTACAAGAAAAAAGGTATCAGAAAATGTAAAATTGAAAATATATAATCATGATTTGGAAAGGGTAAACCAATTTAAGTTTTTGGGTATATGGTTAGATGACAAACTTACTTGGAAAGTGCATATTCAAAACATAATAGATAAATGTAAGAGAGTGTTAAATGTAATGAGGTGTTTGGTGGGGAGTGAGTGGGGAGCTGAGAGGAAAGCACTGAAATCAATATACACAGGTTTAATTAGGTCCTTATTTGATTATGGCAGTATAGCATTTGGGTCAGCATCAGATACATTACTCAAAAAATTAGATAATATTCAGCATCAAGCCTTGAGATTATGTACAGGTGCCATCAGAACAACTCCAACATCAGCTTTACTGGTGGAAATGGGAGAAATGCCACTTCAGCTTAGAAGATTACAAATACTTTCAACTTACTGGTGTCAGTTAAAAGGTCATAATGGAAATCATCCATGTCAAGAGATTTTAAAACCTAGCTGGGAAAAAGAGAAAAAGAAATTAAATTCATTTGGCTGGACTGTAGAAAACATTATAAAAGATTTAGATATATCTCACATAAATATTAGTCAAACAGTTCCTCAGTCTCCAGTTCACCCATCTCTTTTAAGTAATAGTGATGTTGATCTCACTTTGTTGGAAAATCGTAAAAAAGAAAACATTTCAGATTCTCATTCAATACAAACATATTTAGATAGTAAGTATTATGGATATGTTAAAATTTATACAGATGCATCAAAAAATTCAGATAACAGTAGCGGGGTTTCATTCATTGTTCCAGAATTCAGTTTCAAAACAGGTAAAAGAATTACTGATGGAGTCTCAGTCTACACAGGAGAGATGATAGGAATCATTTTAGCTCTGGGATGGATTGAGGAAGTTCGTCCATTAAGGAGTATAATATGTTCTGATTCAAGTTCTTCATTATACTCATTGAAAAATAATCATTCAGACAGCAGACCTGACCTTTTATTAGAAATTCAATTATTAATTTATAGAATTCAAGCGATGGGTTTATTAATTACATTTATATGGATACCATCACATATAGGAATAAAAGGAAATGAGTTGGCAGATAAATATGCAAAACAAGCAACAAAAAATACTTACATTGATATACTGGTACCATTCAGTAAAGGAGAAATCAAATCAGTTATTAAACAAAAGGTGAAGGAAAGATGGCAGAAACAGTGGGAAGAAGAAAGAACTGGCAGGTGGTTTTATAACATTCAAAGGAAAGTTGGTGTGATGAGGAGAACAGGACGAAATAGAAAGGAGGAAACAGTCATATCCAGATTACGTTTTGGCCACACAAGATTAAACAGTACATTGTTTAAAATGGGAAAACATCCTACAGGAAAATGTGACTTTTGTTTTCAAGAAGAGACAGTGAATCATGTTTTATTATTCTGTCCCAAATATTCAGCTGAGAGGAAGGAACTGGCACATAGACTACAGGTCAACAAACTACAGTTGAATATACAGGATCTTTTGGATAAACTTCTCACTTCTGAACTTGTTGTTTTTTTGTTAAGCTACCTTAAGAAGACGGAAATAATCGAGAGAATATAGTTTTTTTTTTTTTTCTCTTATTTTCTTATTATTTTATTTAGTTAAACCTATAGTAATTATTTAGCATCCCGATCCATACTCCATTCCAGTAGATGGCGGTAATGCACATCTAAACGTTGCTTGCCAACCGCCATAAAACACAAGACGAAGAAGAAGAAGAAGAAAACTACAGTCAACAATATGGCGGCAAGTACGTTTATTTTTGTCACTTTTGGTCCTGAAATTGAAACAGCTAGCTTTATTATGAGCCTATGACAGCGTAGGTGAAAATGTTAGTTATAAATCACTCAAATTGTGATTTAGAATCTTTTTAATACAATGCATTTTTTTGTGAAAAATGTGACCTTGAATATGCCGCTAATCATGGCTAATGTATGCTAGCTTCGTGTAGCTGTTTCGTAAACTTTATCGTTTGTTTTTCTACAGAGCTCGGGGCTTACTTGAAAAATGTGTGGGATAAGCAGCCTATTTTGGTGGTCTCTGGTGTGATTATCTTCGCAAGTAAGTAAACAGGTAACGTAGTCTCTCTTGAAAATGAGTTCTCGTGTCTCAATGAGACTACCTGTATAAATAAAGGGTAAATGAAAAGAGAAAAATATCGTTTAAAACTGACATTTGTAGGTTAAAACAATCATCATTCATTTGACCTTTATACAAGTTGGTCTCATTGAATCACGAGGACTCATTTTCAAGAGACCCGTTTTAAATATATAACAAAGTACAGACAACAATAATTCAACAAAAAGCAATTAAAATCAAATAAAATAAGTTATAAACACAGTCATGTCAAGATGCCATATAAAACAAGGTAAAATACTAAAAACAAGAACAATTTAGCTTTGATATTTCTATAGCCATTGTTAAAATGTTTAAAATCCCTCAGAGATCAAAGTAGGCGGCTTCAGAACTTTTTGAAAGGTTTTACAGGTTTCCAAAACTCTTCAGTTTAACTCATTTTAAATGACTGCACATTTCTCTCTCTCTCTCTCTCTCTCTCTCTCTCTCTCTCTCTCTCTCTCTCTCTCTCTCTCTCTCTCTCTCTCACTCTCACTCTCACTCTCACTCTCACTCACACACACACACACCTACTTCCTTTCCAGGTCAGGAGTTTAAATAAGTGATATATATATATATATATAAGTGAAATAGTGTAACATTACAAAACTCATTTAGTTTAGTTGGGACTGGATAGAGTTAACAAAAGAGAAACTCCACTCCTTTGTGTGTAATATAATTCACTAACTTTTATTCATTTTGTGATTCATTGTAATATGAACAGTTGAATCAAGTTATGTTGCAGCTTTCCAATGAGCTGTGTTTGTGCTTAATCATGAAAATGTGATTTCTGTGTGATAAATGCTAAATAAAACTTTATTTTTCACATTAAAGGCCTTGTTGAGGTTTGATTGTTAAGATTACTGCTGGATATTTATAATATTCCAGTTAATGTCCACATTTGCTATTAAAACCTATTAACTTTAACATTTTAATTGTTGAAACTGTTGTTCAAGCATCTAATTTTTGCTTTACATTGAACTGGTTTAAAAAGTATAGTAAATTTGATTTCTTCAAATATAGTCTGAAAAAAAATCCCATAACTTGACACATAAAAAAAAAAAGTATTTTTTTGCTGTAAAGATCTTGCATGTTAAATTTTGTCACATTACTATTGCATTAATCAGATCTTGTTTTATTTATTCATTCATTCATTCTACTAACTGAAGACATCTTGTTTTTCTGTAGGTGTAGTCGTTCCATTCGTCAGCCCTTATACAAAATATACAGCCATGATAAACCAAGCGATGCCGTACACCTACCCAAGTGAGTTCTGATGATTTTCCACAGCAATATGTTTGATATTGGAATATCCGCTGTTAAACTGTCTTGTTTATTTTTCTCATTGCAGTTCCTGTGCGGGATGACGGAAACATGCCTGACATTCCCGCCCATCCATCTGACCCTCAAGGAAAAAATCTGGACTGGCTTAAAGATTTTTAATATGATTGACCACCTTTGCTTCTCTTGTCCCCTCGATTGCCACAATAAAGATGCAATTTAATTCTACGTTTGTGCCACATTGATTTATTCAATATACGTCAAACGAATGGGAAAGAGTTCTACGCAAGTATTTAGAAATGTATTTTTTAAATTAGAACTTGTTCTGGAGTTTTAATGTTTTCTCTTTTCCCCTCCAGGGAATGTCATGTTCAGATGTTATTTGCCAGTTTTTATCAATAAATTTAGAATTTACATCCTAGATATGACAAAAAGATACTCCACAAATCAAACAGAATGCTACGTTGACATTTCATATCAAATAGGTGAACTTAAAGAGTCAGACACCAGAAGAATAATACTCTCACTCTTTAGAATGAACCGACAGCACAAAACGGGTTTGTCCATTTCAAATGGTTTGTGCTCGTGAGCTGAAGGTGTAGAAGCATCTATATTTTGGCTTAAATGGCATCATGGTAGTAAAATGCATCAAATATTGATCAATTGTCCAAATTCCTATTTTTAGATCATGTTTGTTAGTATCTGAACAGGTATGACTTAAAACAAAGCTCTCAATCCACAAATCTCATTTAAAGTAGTTTTATCAGAAATAACCACTACGTTTATTTTGAAGTTGAATTCAGCTCGAAAGTCATCCAATTTATTGGAAGAGGGGATTCATGCTGCAGCATTTTAGCAGCTGTGATGGCGAAGGTGACATTTTCCGTCAGATGACAGAAATGTGGAAAAGTTGTGATCACATTACCACAGCTGAGAGTTCACTGTTTGAAACCGGGATTCTGGTGGAACATTGAAGCGATGCTGAATGAGATGCAAACCAAACGTGTGACTCTGCGTGTAACGTGAGCTTCACCTTGGCTGAAGCACAACACAAATATTCACTACAGTTTAAACAAACACATGACACTTTAATTCATTTAATCAAACTTTATTTCACAACTTGTCAATATTCTGATGTTCTTGGGCAGAATTCCTCGTAGCATTGTAACTTTATATTAGAACAGCCCGTCAGTGCAACATTTTGTTTCTACATAAAACTTTATGAGCTGCGTCTAATTTTTAAACAATATTTCACTTTAATGGAAACGTTTTGAACTTGTGCTGACTTGGGATTCTTTTCAGAAGCATTAATAATTGGTTAAAGGTGTAGATCAGTGCTGTTCAACTGGTGGCCGGGCCACAGGTGAGTTGATTTATAAAACTAGATTTTGAGAAAAATTATTTTGCGAGTAACATTAAATAAATGTAAAATATTCTAAGCTGATCTTGTTATAAAGATAATCTATGATGAGACTATATCTTAGTCCACCTGCCAGTGAGGTCATTTTAAATAAAACGTTCAAACTGTACATTTACGTAATGACAGTAATTAAGATGTTTTTCAGCAACTGTGCCTCCTGAGCAACTGAAAAGAGTTTATAAAGAAGAAAAAAATCAACACTAAATGCTGAAACTTAAATTCACAATCACATTTAATACAGAATTTACATTTTTCTGCCACTTTTGAATTTTACTGAGCAGCACTTTGGGCTCTTTAAATAGACTTACGTTACAATTATTAACAAATCAGCTGTGCTTTGTCTTTTAATCTCAAACACACATCCAAGACCGTATTAACGTGTTATTACCACTCGTATTAATTTCACTATGAGCAGCTTTCCTGCATTATTAAAAAAATAAAATAAAAATCATCGCTATCGGAGGCTTTTCTGCAGGGTCAGAGTCAAAACGTTCAACCAAAGTGAAATATTCAACAAGAAGTCAAATAAAACCACACCATCACATTTTCAGCAATATTTACAAGCGTGACTAAGCATTTCTTCCAACTAATGATGCAAAGTGAACAGTATGAGCTCATAGTTATTTTCATAATACTTTTTTCTGATCTCTTGAATCAGCTGGCGGTAATTGAAACAGAAAAATAAAACCCTCACGTTTCTACACATTCAGAGCTCTGCAGCTCCTCTGACTTTGGATGTTTCTAGTTTACCACAAACACCTGCTTAGACACTGGTCAACCTTCCTGAATACTTTCTTTTTCACTTCCTACAAAACGTTCGCTCATTAAACTCCACTGTCTTGTTTTCACACCTCGTTCAGCTGATGAGTCAGTCTGACTGCAAAACACACGACAAGTGAAGGAAGTTAGCGAAAGGAACCAAAAGGACTGTCGATCCAAATCTATGCAAACCTCCAGGTTTGAAACCCTTGAACTTTCCATAACATGAAACTTTCTTTTTAAAAAATAGCCTTTCAATCCAAAAACCTCTTTTCAAACATTATATTACCCTTCAGAGTGTGTGAGCTTTATTTTTTGTTGTTCTATGTTTTATAAGAATAAATATATGATGGAGCAGTAGAGCTGCTGTAAAAAAATACCTGGGGGGGGGGCAAAATCTGGACAAAAATCACTAAAATGTATACATTATTGTCAAATATTTTATATTATATTATATATAAATTTGTGAAGTTAAAAAAACAGTAAACTTCCAAGATTAAAGTCCTAAAATTATAAGGAAAAAGCTCAATTTTCGGATCATGTTCCAATTTTTTGTGTAAAAAAACGAAAGAATTCCAAGACGAAGTTAATACATTTCCAAAAAATAAATAAATACAACCAGAATTTTAGAATATTTTAGCCTTTTTACTGAAAATTATACTAAGATCTGTAAACATCTGTGTTGCATTTTTTTAAAAGTGAATTTAAGACTTTATTCCTGGAAGTTTGGATTTTTTTTTTTTCCACACAAATTTCACTTTATCAGATAATATAGTTTTATTCCTGCAAATTTCTATACTTAATCATAAAAAATTGATTTATTTATCCACATATAAATTCCGCATTAGTGTCTGAATTTCTAAAATTTCTCTAAATTTTTTTGCTTCAATCCAGCTCCTTTTATTCATTTGTTTTTAATTACACTGTTGTAATTATTTCTTTTCCACTGAGGAAGTTTAACAGAAAATGTTTAATAAGAATAAAAATTTACGTAAAATAAATGTTTCATGTGAATCCAGGGAACAGGTTACAACAATCCAACCATCTATCGTCACAAATACTAACACAAAAAACTTTGCAGAGTCATAAAAACTACAAGTTGATTGGCACAAACAGTTTTCTGTCATGGTTTGATGCACTCAAACACTTCCTGTTACCAAAATAAAAGTGACACAAAATCATCTCAGCGTCAGTTTCATTAAATAATGTTCGGTTCATCTAAAACAAAAAGGATTTAAAATAACAAAAAGGCAAAAAAAAAAAATTTTTTGTTTCTCTTTTCTCGTTAAAATGCACCAATCTGGAAGATTTTCTAAAATAAAACCAACGTTTTAATAGAGAAAGAGCCTGTCCTCGTCCCAAAATGTTTCCGAGCAGTCAAGTGTGGGACTTGTTTTTTTGTTTTGTTTAGGATCTGCTGAATCAACAAAACAAATTTTACAAAAACAAGAGCTAAAAAAGAGGCACTTCTACTTTAATTTTTTAGTTCTTTTAGAAGGATAAAACAGTTTGATGGTCTCCAAGACAAACAAATCTCCAATTTTTATCTAAAAAAATATTCAGATCATTTGGTGTGGCATTCTACAAAAAAAAAAAACCTCTAAACAATCAATATCTTACCAGCTATAGACAACTATTTTAAATTAAATTTTCTAAATTATTTGGGCAGCACAGTGGATTAGGGGTTAGCGTCACATCAAGGTCCTCGGTTCGATTCTCGGTTTGGACCTAGGGTCATTTTGTGTGGAGTTTGCATGTTCTCCTGTCTGTGTGTTTTCCTCCCCACAAACCAAGAACATGCATGTGCAGGCTGAATGCAGGCCTCCCTTAATAATGAGATCTGTGACCTCAATGCCGGTTAAATAAAGGTTCATAAAAAAAAACAATTTTGGAGAAATAGAGTTTATTTCAGACCAGATTGATGAGTTAAGGGTTAGTGTGAGCAGGAAGAAGAAATCTGAAATCTCAAAAATCTTGTGGTGATTCATATGAACACTACTTTATGAACCTTTACACAGCCAACAGTTTAACAATAAACAAGTTATTCTGACAAAAATAATTTTTATTTTATTTTTTTACTGAAAAGCCCTGGGTGGAAATGCTACAGCCAGCCAGCTGCTGCAGCTTTTAGCCCTTGCAAATAACCGTAAAATTTAGTGAAAATTGTTTAATGCTAAACTTACAGTAATTTAAAGGTTTATAAAATAATGTCCACCATTGTTTACACTTGAGTTGTTACAAGACGACAACAATCCACTTTGGTTTTGGCTTCACTCAGACTAGCCATTAGCTCACCAACCTGGTAAATAAACTGTTTCTCCAAGCTGAAGTAATTCAAAGAGCTATCTACAACAGGTAAGATAGTAACTGTTCATGTTCATGACTTTTCAGTCTCAAAAATCTGAACTACCATTTGAATACCCACACTTTCAGTCCCTCTGGTCACATTTCTTGGTTTGTAACAACCTCAAAATCAAATAGAAACTTGAGTCTTATTCACTTTCTGCTCATAAAACATGAACTTCCTATGATTTAGCTGAAAAATAAACCATTTTCCAGAGCAAGTCTCCGGTCGGAAACACGAGTGGATTTGCATTTTCCAGAAATCGACCTGAGGCTGGAAGGAGCGACGATCCACAGAGATCCCACGCTCACTCAATGATGGGTGCCGAGCGATCGTTGGTGAACGTTTTTCTGAGTCGGATGTGAGCGAATGGATTGGGCCTGAAGGAGGAAGCAATAAATTACATTTTTATTTTAAAGTTGCATTTTCAGTTCATTTAATCCCTGTTCAAACAGGGATATTAAAACATATATAACTGCTCTGTATTTGACACTATTATCGCCTGACACTGAAAGCAATAAGGTTTTTGTTTGTCCGTGCATGTGTTTGTGTTTATGTACATGAAGACCTGATAAACTACCGAACAAGTACCGTATTTAATGAAACTCTCAGAAAGTAATAATTGGATGTAAATCTACAGTTTCTGTGAGTTTCAAGACCTTTTAAAAATCAATATAATTCCAATTTAAAACCTATAAAAGTTACAAAATAAAAGAAAAACCAACAGGGTTATTGTAAAAAACAACCAAAAAAACCCCCCAACAGGGTTATTGTTTAAAAAAAAAAAACTGGATTATTGTAAAACACAAACAAAACAACAACTATATTTTATTGCATTTCATTCAAAACTCAATCCAGATTAATAATAATAATAATAATAATAATAATAATAATAATAATAATAATAATGAAAACTACTCCAGTTTCAGAAGTAGATAAATCATATTTTTTGAAAGGTTGTGAAAGATTGTCATTAATTTCCTTCAGACCGGGCTGCTGCATGATGGGAATTCTAGTTTAATAACAGAACAATTCCCTCTGTAATACTCAGTCAAAACTCAGAACAAATGAAACCTTGCAGCAAATTAAAGAACAAGTTGATGGCAAAAGCAACGAATGAACAAACATAAATTGAATATGTAACTAAATTAATTTTAATTAGTAAATTAATATATCTTTACATAATTCAAGACTTTTAAGACCTAAAATTAAGTTGATTAAATTTAGGACTTAATGACATTTTTAGACCCTGCAGAAACTGTATTAAAATTAATTAATCTTTGCAAACAAATCGCTGTAACTCCATCAAACAGCTTGAGCTCCATCCCTTCTGGTGATTTTAGTTTAACCTTTAGGCATGAAAGGTGGTGTGCGATATGCATTCTTTCAAAGAATGAAAGACGTTTAATTCACAAACATACAGGTGGAGAGGTTCTTACCTGGTGGGAGAGGGTGGAGAGGTCAACTCTGACGTGATCTGAAATGCAGAGAAGAGGATCGATGTTAGAAAACAATTGCATCAACGTGAGGACAGATGGCCTCCGACCCTTCACCTCATCCCACAGGTTTCCAGTTTCTGACCTTGTTGCTGTCCGCCATGCTGTAGGGGCGCGGGCGGAAGGTGCTGACCCTCTGGGGAGGAAGGGAGCGCTCCTCCTCGGACTCGGGGGTCAGGGCTGGGAGACCTGCGGACACCAGTTTGTCGAGCTGTCCGGTGCTGGTGCTGTTAGTCTTAGATAAGAAGTGAGAGCTGAGAGAGACGGAGGAAACATGATGGAAACAGAGAAAGGCTCATTACATGAGAACAAAACCAACATCAAAGTTAAAGGAAAACAAAGATTTAACACCATATAATCTACATTTTGTGACTCAAATTCATAATATACAAGTTATTGATAATAAACTTTACACTGTAATGTCCTCACCCCTCAGTCTGATCCATCTTGCCATGTTGTGGTTGAGTGTAGGAGAAAGGGAACCAGCCTTTCCTGTAAGGAAATATTTAAACTGCAGGTGAAGATATTTAAACGACGCTTCAACAAAGTTCACATCTTTTCAGATCAATCCACAGTTTTCTAATGTGCTCAGGGTCCAAGCAAACAACTAATGAATCGTACCGTCCGGTTCGTTCATTTTGCCCGTAGTGCCACCCATCTCTGGGCTCAGAGATCAGCAGGGTGATGTGGTCGCCAGGTAGGAAGTGGAGTAAGCAAGCCCCGCCCCCCATGTTTCCAGCCCCACCCTCCGAAGCTCCAGGTATGTGGGTGAACATGGCCTCCACTTGGGTGTATCCAGATAAGGGCAGCGTCCTGGGGAGACTGGAGCCTGTGATGAAGTCAAATTAAACGCCCGGCTTTAATGGAAGGAACGAAAACATCATCCACCACCTTTCAGGCCCAAGTTTTACACCAGACGTGGGCAACATAAGGCCCGAGGGCCAAATGTGGCCCTTGGACAATCTCCATCCAGCACCCAATAGTCTTAGATGAAAGGAAAACAATTTTTAAAATGTTGATAAAAATCTGCTTTTTATCAATGAAACTTAATGAAGTTTAAATTAAACAACTTAGACAAATACATAAAAAAAAAATTTTTGAATTAAGATGGGCTTAAACATTTCTTTAAGTTGTGTTTTCTAAACTAGACTGAACCATAAAGACTTCAAAAGCAAACAAATATTTTTAAAAATTATATATATTTTAGCATAGACTAACAAATATACTGTCAACAGCCAGTTCACATTATATTCCCAAAGAGCATTGGAGAAACATATGTTTATCAAACATGTTAACTCTGCTACAAAAAGAAAAAGCCTGACGAAAGTCTTACAGATTATCTGACTTAAAGCATCAATTTTCCTTTTCTCAATGCGACACTTTGATTGCTTTAAATATCTTAATTTGGCCCTCTGGAAAATAATGCTGCCGACCCCCATTTTAGACTAAAATCATCTCATGATGAGAAGAAACGCAGTTATAGACATTTTGTAAACTGATGAATGTTGTGAAATCTTACAAATTGTATCCTGATGCATGCTCAATAATCCAGGTAGAAAAATTTAACAAAGTTAAGTCAGGTCCTCTGAATGAATGCAAAGAAGTAAAATAAATAAATAAATAAAAAATATATAAAATAAATATAATTTTTTTTAAAATAATTTAAAAAAAAATTTATAAAAAAAAATTATAAAACTAAAAATAAATTTAAAAAGAAGCTGAAGAAGAATATTTTTATTTATTTATTTATTTTTATTTTCATTTTTTTTACTTTTTTCATCCATCCAGAGGACCCGACAGCTTTGTTAGACTTACAAACTGTGTTGGTGCTCGGTGTTTGTGTTCTGGATGACTCTCAGCTACTGCCGCTTGCACTAGCTCCATATCTGTTCCTTTATAGCAATCATTCTGGTGGCTAAAGTTGATCAGCTTTGACATCCACTGATTACTTTCTGAGAGTTTCACTTAAACTTGTCCAGTGGTTCATGAGATGTTTTGCTAACACAAAGTACAGATGAAGAACCACACTGGCAGGTGATAAGAACGAGAAGGTTAAAGATGAAGAGTTCTCACCCTGAAAGCCCCCCAGCCTCATTTCGCTGAGAGGCCTCCTCGGCAGTGGGAGGGTTGCGGTGGCGGACATGTCTCCAGTCTTCAGCAGCCAGGGATTATGAGACAGAGACAAAGTGTTGCTCCCTCCTGACCCCACCTGTTGGTGCAGCAGCTGCACTGGAGTCATGGCCCTGGAGAGAGGAGCACTGTGGGACAGCGGGGGGCTGTGAGGAGCACTGTGGGGGATGGGGAGGGTCATGCCCTGTGAGGAGCTGCTGGTCGCCGAGATCTGGCTGAGGGACATCATCGTGGATGGGATGAGGCTCGGGGAGAGGCTGGACGTGGCCAGGAGGAGCGAGCCCTGTTGGGTGGAGCTGCTGGACGTGGTGGGGGTGGATCCTGCTGGGCTCTCGCTGCTCCGGCTGTCAGGAAGGGGGCTGGCTGACACGCTCAGGGGCGTGCTAGTGTGCTGAGGAGATGCTCCTCTGGAGGAACCTCCTGCAGCTCCAGCAGTGGAGGACACAGAGCGGAAAGCCTGAGGGGAGCCCTGAGGAGGACCAGAGTCACTGTGGGAGGAGGAAGAAGAGGGGAGCGAGCGCTGCTGCTGGGAGCGGCTGGAGTCTCCGTTCAGCAGCGGAGGGACCTCCTGAACAGAGAGCTTCTGCAACAACAGACATGAAGAGTCTCATTATCAGGGGTCTGTGCTCAACTTCCTAAAAACAAAAATTCACATTACCTGACCTCTCTGCGAGTCATAAACATGTAATAGTTAAACTTGGAAACTGTAAGAAAAGTTACCTGGAACATTCTTTAAAGTTAAAAATTTTACTTGGAAAATTTCTCAACAGCTTTGACCAAAAATGTATTATTTCTGCCCGACATGTAAAAAGAGGAGAACTGCAGTAATAATTAATTGTTAGCTTTTCTGTGAGATTGAATCTGAATTAATCAGTCGCTACTTTACAGTCTCGATTAGTGAGTATGTTACGTCGTGTTCAAATGCAAGAATTGTGATGAAATGCATCATCAGCTTGTTCTGCTCATAGTGTTTAGTTTGGTTACTGAGCATAAATCCAACCTGGAGGATCTTTAACACCTCACTTACCCTGGAGACAGATCCCACCTGCCTGAAGACTGCCACCATCATCCCAGTCCCAAAAAGCTCTACAGTGACTGGTCTGAATGACAATCAGCCAGTGGCCCTCACCCCAATAGTTGCTAAATGCTTCGAAAAACTGGTCATGACTCACATCAAAACAACAATTAACAACAACGAGGACCCTCATCAGTACGCATACCGTGAGAACCGATCAACAGAGGATGCCATCTCCTTTGTGGTCCACACTGTGCTCAACCACCTGGAGCAGAAGGACTTCTAAGTCTGTATGCTCTTTGGGGACTTCACGTCCGCCTTCAACACCATGATCCGCCAAACGCTGATGGACAAACTACTCACACTAGGACTAAGCCCCTCCATTTGCAACTGGGTCCTTCTTAACAAACAGACCACAGTTAGTGAGGATCCACAACTTCTCCTCCTCCACCATAACCCTCAGCACTGGCTCTCCTCAGGGATGTGTGTTGAGCCCCCTCCTGTTTACTCTGCTCACTGCTGATGCTGCACCTATCCGCCTATCTATCTCACGCTCCATTTTTCCCTCATTCATGAACAAGACCCCAAGATACTTAAACTCCTCCACTTGGGGTAGGACCTCCTCCCTGACCCGGAGAGGGCACTCTACCCTTTTCCGGCTCAAGACCATGGCCTCGGATTTGGAGGAACTGATCTTCATCCCGGCCGCGTCGCATTCGGCTGCGAACCGCTCCAGCGAAAGATGTAGATCATGATCTGATGAAGCCAATAAGATCACATCATCTGCAAAAAGCAGAGACGCAATCCTAAGGCCACCAAAACAGATCCCCTTAACACCTTGGCTGCGCCTAGAAATTCTGTCCATAAAAGTTATGAACAGAATTGGTGACAAAGGGCAACCTTGGCGGAGTCCAACTCTCACCGGGAACAAGCCCGACTTACTGCCGGCGATGCGGACCAGGCTCTGACACCGGTCATACAGGGACCTAACAGCCCGTATCAAAGGACCCGGTACCCCATACTCCCAGAGTACCCCCCACAGGGTTCCTCGAGGGACGCGGTCGAACGCCTTCTCCAAGTCCACAAAGCACATGTAAACCGGTTGGGCAAACTCCCACGCACCCTATAGGACCCTGCTGAGAGTGTAGAGCTGGTCCAGTGTTCCACGGCTAGGACGAAAACCACACTGCTCCTCCTGAATCCGAGGTTCGACTATCCGATGGACCCTCCTCTCCAGAACCCCCGAGTAGACCTTACCTGGGAGGCTTAAGAGCGTGATTCCCTCTAGTTGGAACACACTCTACGGTCCCCCTTATTAAATAGGGGGACCACCACCCCGGTCTGCCAATCCAGGGGAATTTCCCTCGATGTCCACGCAATATTGCAGAGTCGCGTAAGCCAACACAACCCTACAACATCCAGAGCCTTAAGGAACTCCGGGCAAATCTCATCCACCCCTGGGGCCCTGCCACCGAGGAGCTTTTTAATCACCTTGGTGACCTCAGCACCAGAGATTGGAGGGCCCGACCCAGAGTCCCCAGGCTCCGCTTCCTCAGTGGAAGACATGCCGGTGGGATTGAGGAGGTCTTCAAAGTATTCCGCCCACCGACCCACAACATCCCGAGTTGAGGTCAGCAGCACACCACTCCCACTATAAACAGTGTTGGTGGCGTACCGCTTTCCCCCCCTGAGACGCCGGATGGTGGACCAGAATCGCCTCGAAGCCGTGCGGAAGTCGTTCTCCATGGCCTCTCTGAACTCCTCCCATGCCCGAGTTTTTGCCTCAGCGACCACCCGAGCCGCATGTCGCTTGGACTGCCGGTACCCATCAGCTGCTTCCGGGGTCCCACAGGCCAAAAAGGCCCGATAGGACTCCTCCTTCAGCCTGACAGCATCCCTCACCGACGGTGTCCACCATCGGGTTCGAGGGTTGCTGCCGCGACAGGCACCAACAACCTTGCGGCCGCAGCTCCGGTAAGCCGCCTCGACAATAGAGGCACGAAACATGGTCCACTCGGACTCAATGTCCCCCACTTCCCTCGGAACATGTTTGAAGTTCTCCCGGAGGTGGGAGTTAAAACTCCGTCTCACAGGAGACTCTGCCAGACGTTCCCAACAAACCCTCACAATACGTTTGGGTCTGCCAGGTCTGACTGGCATCCTCCCCCACCATCGGAGCCAACTCACCACCAGGTAGTGATCAGTGGACAGCTCCGCCCCTCTCTTCACCCGAGTGTCCAAGACATGCGGCCGCAGATCAGATGAGACGATGACAAAGTCGATCATCGAACTGCGGCCTAGGGTGTCCTGGTGCCAAGAGCACATATGGACACCCTTATGCTTGAACAAGGTGTTCGTTATTGACAATCCATGACGAGCACAGAAGTCCAACAACAGAACACCACTCCGGTTCAGATCAGGGGGGCCGTTCCTCCCAACCACACCCCTCCAGGTCTCACTGTCATTGCCCACATGAGCATTGAAGTCCCCCAGCAGAACAAGGGAGTCCCCAGGAGGTGCACTTTCCAGTACCCCCTCCAAGGACTCCAGAAAGGGTGGATAATCTGAACTGCCGCTTGGTGCATAAGCACAAATGACAGTCAGAACCCGTCCCCCCACACGTAGGCGGAGGGAGGCCACCCTCTCATTTACCGGGGTGAACCCCAACACACAGGCACCAAGATGGGTGGCAATAAGTATGCCCACTCCTGCTCGGCGCCTCTCACCAGGGGCAACTCCAGAGTGGAAGAATATCCAGCCCCTCTCAAGGAAACTGGTTCCAGAGCCAGAGCCATGCGTAGAGGTGAGTCCGACTATTTCTAGCCGGAACCTCTCAGCCTCACACACCAGCTCAGGCTCCTTCCCCACCAGTGAGGTGACATTCCACGTCCCAATAGCCAGCTTCTGTAGCCAAGGATCAGACCGCCAGGGTCCCCGCCCTCGGCCACCACCCATCCCACATTGCACCCAACCCCTTTGGCCCCTCCCACAGGTGGTGAGCCCATGGGAAGGGGGACCCACGTCTCCTCTTCGGGCTGTGCCCGGCCGAGCTCCATGGGTAAAAGCCCAGCCACCAGGCGCTCGCCCGCGTGCCCCACCTCCAGGCCTGGCTCCAGAGTGGGGCCCCGGTGACCCACATCCGGGCAAGGGAACATTAGGTCCGTTTATTTTTCTCATCAAAGGGGTTTTTGGGCTGCACTTTGTCTGGTCCCTCACCTAGGACCTGTCTGCCATGGGTGACCCTATTAGGGGCGTAAAGCCCCTGACAGCATAGCTCCTAGGGTCAATGGGACACTCAAACCCCTCCACCACGGTAAGGTGGCAGCCCATGGAGGGGTTGATTTTAAGCAACAATTTTAAACTTTAAAACTTTTACTAAAGTTATGAGGAGTAAGCAGATTACAGGCCTATGATAAAATACTGGGACATACCTGCAATTTTAAACTTTATCATTCAAAATCTTTGCATTTGAAGTAAAAGTTTAGTTTTTTTACCTGCTCTGGCTGAGCAGAGCCCTGCTTGGTGTGACGGACAGCCTCAGCTATCCCAGCAGCCCCTGGGCTTTGCGGTGCTGTGTGGCGCAGCAGGTTGAGGGCGCGCTCTGGCAGCTTTGTCGGCTGAGAGCACGACTGATGCCACGAAGAAAGTTTGTGCGACAGAAGCTCTCTCACCTAGTTCACAATCAAAAGCACAAACAAAAAAACCTGAAATTAAAGTCTTAATTAATAGTTACCCAAGAAGTAAAACTGTATTTATTAAGATGTCTGTGTTTGTTTGAGTGTCTGTTGGCAAAATGTCTCACCAGAGACGGATTCTAGTGAAACTTTCAAAAAGCATTCATTGGATTACTTTTAGACTCATCTCGATTCAGTATAAGTCGTCAAAGCAACTCATAAATGTTAATAATTCAGTCAGTTTTACAGAAATTAAACTAAAATTTGGTGTGGTAGTAGCTGAGAGTCACTGACAACATACTCTCTGAGCACCAACATAGAGTAAATCTAGGTCTTTAGTTGTAGATTACTCTTATTTTCAGCTGTAGAATGATCCATTATTGGATCTAGTTTGTATTTCAGGTATTATAAGTTAGTGTACTTTATTCTAATGACTGTGCAGCTAATTTAAACATTTCTAATCTTTTAAGCACAAAAATGATGGTACAAAAAAAAAAAACAGCTCATCGGGTTAGATGCATGCTTTTATGTTCAAATGATTTAAATACACTGTTAGCAATGATAGAAAATAAACCACAGCTATAGAAATGCCGAAGATCACCTTGGAGTGGTAGTTTATGAGCAGTTTGGTGACGCAGCACTGTCTGTCCACCAGGAAGCAGTATCGTCTCCTCTCCTCTGTCAGAGCAGACTTGTAACCCGTGGCCACCAGTGCGTCCAGCTCGCCTTGGCGACGACTCATCAGCTCCACAAACTGAAAGGAAAACACCCCCAGTTATTATTTCAAACCTCAGCACATTCTTCCACGGATCTGCCTGTAAACCCCCTGGCAGAGTATGCGACCCTGGGACAAAAGAACAAATGTAAAAGCTGTCCTTCGGCTTATTTTTTCTTCAGGCTTCAGGACAAATCTAAATTTCAGCTAAATCAGATTTTTCTCTAATCTTATTTCTTCTGCTATTAAATCTCACCCAAACACTTGCATAACTCTGCTTTATAGTCTGCAGTAATATTGAGGTCACATTAACGTCTTTGTTTCACGGCCTCTGAATCCACTCTGAAACTTCACCCACCTGCATCTCCCTGTCTCCGTACTTGTTTGGGTGGCGGCTGCCCTGGCTCTTCCTGCGGAGCTTCTTCAGCTGGGACTGGCAGCGCTCGATCGATTCAGATTTAGACCTTCGCTCACTCTGGTACTTCTTTAGAGTTGACTGAGAGGAACAAACAACAACGAACGAACCAATAGTTAGGATTCAGAGTCCTGGTTGGAGTTACTGACATCCGTAACGTTAAAGTGCTTTGAGGAAAATCTTGAGAAATTACACCTGGTTCATAAAACCAAACCATCTTACACGAATTAGCAGCAACAAATATTGGTACTCTTCAAATATCTCATCTATTCAAATATTCTGGTAGTTTCTTCCACTCTTCAGTAATTACTGTATATTTAAGATCCCCTATGACCTTCACCTCAAACCTGCATGGTCAGTAGACATTGCCTTCAACAAACAACTTGAAGAACCACATAATAAAAATAAAATAAATAAATAAATAAAAACATCCATCTTTGATCTGTTTTCAGGTCGCGGAGGCAACATGTCCAGGAGAGAAACCCAGAACCCAGACATTCCTCTCCCCAGTGACATTCTCCAGATCTTCCTGGGAGACGCCGAGGCGTTCCCAGGCCAAAGAGGACATATAATCAATCCTTCCAGAGAGTTCTGGATCTTCCCTGGGGCCTTTTACCTGCAGGACATGCCCAGGTACCTCCACAGCGAGACATCCTAATCAGATGCCCGAGCCACCTCAACTGATTATTTTCCATACAAAGGAGCAGCAGCTCTACTCCAAGGATGACAGAAGCAACTCCAACGAGCCCCGATCCATCCGACCATCACAAGACATCCAGATACGTCAACTCCACTCCCTGAGGATCCTCTGACCTGGAGGGGGGCATTCCACCCGTTTCTGGTTGAGAACTACGGCCTCGAACTTGGAGTAACCGACTCTCATCCCAGCTGCTTCACACTCAGCTGTGAACATCCCCAGAGGACGCTGGAGGTCATGGCCCAAAAATGCCATCAGAACCACATCATCTGCATAATGCGAGACACTGAGGTTTCCAAACCAGACCCCCTCCGTTTAAGGATCTCATGGTACAATAAAATAAATCTCTGTATATTACTCCACATAGTTTTTTTTTGTTTTTTACCAGAACTTACTGGTTCTACAACTTCAGAACAGAACTTCAGTTACAAAGTAGAAGCCTTGCTTTTATTATTTTTTCAGAGAGTCGCTGGTTTTAATGTTTTAGCAAAACTGTTTTCCCCAAAATAACTTTCCACAATTGTTCTTTTTTTCCTGACTTATTTTTCTTACATAATTTCATTCATGTACATTTACATTTGTCTTAAAATATGAAAATGTAAAAAATGAACAAACGCTTTGCCTTTCTGCTCTAAGGAATCCTAACAAACGTCCCTCTTTTTTCCCCTCCTCTACTGTTTCCTGTGTTTTACTCTTCATACAAACCGTGAAACTAAATGAAAGCTGTTAACGTGAACTTACTGTGAGGTATTTGATGTCCAGCTCCAGCTTCTGCTCCAACTGGGCCAGCATCTCAGAGTGAAACAGCTTCAGCTGGTGGTGAAGTCATATAGAACAAATTCGATAACTTCCTGAAGTTTACAGCAACTTTTTCAGACTCGTGTTAAAATTATAAACAAATGTTTCTAACACAAGAGGCTATTTAATCGGGGAAAACAAAAGGTTATTAGTTTTTGTTCTCACCACGTCTTCCAGCTGAACCTGAATCTGTCTGTGAACCTCGGCCATCTGGAACAGGGTGTCTCCTGTGAAGACAGAGGCGGATTTAGTTTTTAGAGGCCCAAAGGAAAGCACAGGCAGGGGGCCCTCTACTTAAAAATGTTCAATTATTTGTAACAAATTTTTCCAAATCCTACTTTTAGCTTGTGGTGTTTTTTTTTTTTTCTCTGCATCTTGTCAGAATCAATTTTTTGAGTCGTTTTTTACAACAATAATACAATTTATTTACATTTCAGTTTCTGGTAGTGTAGTAGTGGGACCGATACTGAAAGCTGCTGTGACTTTTGTGTCTGTTAAGCTGGATTAATGAGAAGTGAAGAAATTGGCTCTGAAATTGTGTCATTTTGTTCTTGTGTGAGCTCAGAGAACTCATTTTGTGCACAAGACCCAGGCAGAACTTTTTTCTCACGGCAGTACATGTCGAGTGTCGTATCAGAACTTTGTGTGTTTATTTATGCAGAAATGCGGGTAAACTACCCAGCTCTCATTATGCCCTAACTTCTCCTCTGCGCAGCTGTTAGAAAGAAAAAACAGCTATCTTTACTACTGCTGTAGGCAAAGAAAGTTAAACATGCCTTTTGAAGATCGTCTAAAAACTTGTGAAAGGAGATGGCACAACTATTGTGCCCACAGGGAGATCTCTGTGTGCTGGGTGAGGGGGGAGTAGTGTTGGGACAGGTTCCGTTTTTTTTATACCTTGTAATTGTGCGCCATTTGTCAGAAATGGTGACAGTCTATTTGTGGCATATTTGCAAAAGCCAAATGGCTTCTACCGTCTTATTCCGTATAAAAAATATAAACAAAATCTGTCAGCAAAAATCTGTACAAGGAAGGAAGAATGGAGACCCTGAAGAGCCTGACAGTCTGACACAGGAATGAGAGCTGATAAGCTTTGCAGAAGGTAGATCCTGTGAGAAGTCATCTTGTCTGGCTTCTCAGGAAGGGAAGTAGATTAGCAACAGGGGTTTAATTACCATACAGTCATGTCCCTGAGGCCAGGATATGAACCTTCCGAGGGATGCAAGACACTACACTTGCAATTTATAACTTGGTTCCCTCATCAATGAATCACAACTAACAGTGTTCTTGCCTTAGGAGTATTCCAAAGAGTCACGGTTGATAATTCCAAGAACGAAAAAGTAAGTTGAAGATATTCCACCAAGTCCAAAGGATAAATCCACAAAAAGGGAAAACAGAAATAATACAATTATTCCAAGTGACATCCACAATGTCCTCTGGAGGGCATGGTGAAGTAGACTCAGGAATGATGAAGTAGACCAGGAACGATGACCTAGACTGGACTGTTTGTCTAGTGACTATTGCCAATAAACTACTTGCTTATATAATGTGAATTACCATGCAGATGTTGGATGCTGCCTATCATGGTGCGCTAAGATTCCTAACTGGCTGTAATTACCGTACCCACCATTGCACCCTGTATTCACTGGTTAACTAGTCATTAACTTCACGCATACTCTCTCACTGGTACATTTTCATCTTCAAATCACTTCTTTGTCTGTTGCCTTCGTACATCTCCTCCTACATGTCTCTGCATGAGTGCAGCTACAGCGTGCGCTCTCAGGACATTATTACCTGCAGTGTTCCCTCAGTGCGGACTGAACTAGGCAAAAGGGCCTTCTCCCACTCCACTCCTGTTTCCTGGAATATCTTGCAAAAAGATCTGAAGCTCTCATCCTTGACCTTTCGTGGTTTCAAACAACTGTTAAGTTTCTGGCAAAAACCAGCATGTTCCTGTTTTTAGTTTTCTACATCGCTTTACAACCTAGCTGTTTTTTTGTTCATTTCATTTTAATGCCATTTTCTTTCACTTGTTCTTTTTAATTTGCATGCTTCCTTTTATGATTGTCTACTGTTGTCTTTGTTCTCTACTGTTGTCATCACTCTTTGTTAGAATTAAGTCTCTCTTGTAAATGAGTCCCCGAGGCGCAATGGACTAACCTGTATAAATAAAGGTTGAATGAGGGGCAAGTTGTGTGGTTGTCATCTTACTAAATAAGTAATTACTCAATACTTTTTGTTTACATGTTGAAGCCACACACTTTGTGTGTCTCGTTCTTGTGGCATCAGTCACAAAAATGCAGAATTAGCCTAATCTGATTTAAATAAACATGTGTGTAAGCCACACTGTCAAAATGAGAAATTTCTCATTAGTTATTATTTTCTAATTCTCCATCTCAAAAGCTTCAAAATAATCTGTAGTTTTGTTGAAATTTGGTGATTACAAGCTTGTTTTGTTTGTGAGAGTGCAGATTTAAGAACTCAATTTTTTTATTCTATTTTTTGTCTAGAATGATGTCACTGGGAATTTCAGCCCTATATTCAAAAGGTAAACATTATATAAAGGGATTTCCCGGTGCTACAGCCAGCAGAGAAAAACTGTTGGTTTCAAAGGAAAATATAAGGCTTTTGACAAATTATTTCTGAAGACACGCCTGTTATAAAATTTTGATTTAAAGGTCCGTTCTGTTATTTTAGTTGGGATCTCTACACAGACTCAGTTTGACACAAATCAGAGTTGTGTCAAAAATCAAAAATTTTCACTTATTTTGCTCTGCAGCCTGCTTATTCTGACTCATTCCATTATGTTTATCACAATTAAACATTTGTAGATATCTGTGTTTTAAAAACTAGCTGCATTTGGTTTTCATTTAATTTATAAGCAGAAAGCTGCTTGTAAATGCACTGAAAGTTAAGCTTGCTTTTGTGAAACTATTAAAGTTTAAAGAACTCAAAAGTTGATGACACATTAAATAAATGCTCTGGGAAAAGGCCACACGTGTAACTATGAATAAATTTGCACCTTAAAATCACAAAACAAGCCAAATGAAATATATTAAATGTGTCTTTGACACGGTTCTGGATCAACAAAGTGGCGGTCAGCTGCAGGCCCCTCCCTCGGTCACACAGCCCTTGTAGTATGTGGTGGCTGGCATCTCGCCCTCCGACACTCCTGCCTGCCTCCCCCGCCGTTTTCAGCATTACAATGAGATCATGTGGTGTTGTTAATCTCCCAACAATGGCCCTACTCTCTCCACGTTTCCCTCTGTTCTCCGCCTCGACGTTTCCCCATCCTCTCCTCATCTCTTCACACACGCTAACGTCCACTCTTCATCAGCTGTCATGTTCACATTAAAAGCACTTTGTGGGGGTTTTCTCCTCTCACCCAGCTCTTTGGAGCCTTGGCTGTCGCTCGCCAGCTCTCCCAGTTTCACCAGAGCGTCAAAGTAGCCTTTAGCTGCCACAGTCACTCCTGTAGAAAAGAGCAAACATCTGTGAAAATTTCAAATTTCCTCAAAATAATTATCACTCAATACTTTTCATGCAACAGTTTTAAAACTGACATCATTTTATTTAGTTTTGGTCATTTAAAAAAAAAAAAACAACAATCCTTCATTTCTCACAGTGCGTGTTTGAGATGACTCTCAGCTACTACCACATCAAATTTTAAGTCACTTTCTGTAAATTTGACTGACCTTTAGCCATTTTTAGATTTGTCAAGGTCAAAAAGCTGTGGCAGCCATCTTGAAAGGTGTTGACCTCAGTTGTAAATATACAACAAATGATTACTGTCTGTGAGTTTCATCAAAATCCATCGAGAGGTTCATGAGATATTTGGCTAACAGACAGAGGGTTGCATCCAACAGTTATTACCAAAGTTTTTAGCAAAGAGCACTTTAAATATCTATTAAGGAGGACTCTCAGCTACCACCACACTGAATCATAGCCCAGCATCTTTCAAATCGGTTAGGGTATAAACATTTTGGCATTTACTAAGTTCAGTTAACTGTGGCAGCCATCTTGAACTGGGTTAACTTCAAAAGGTAATAAGTTGTCGATGTACAACTAATAATAATTTTTTGCAAGTTTAATCAAAATTCATTCATAAGATATTTTTCTAACAGACAAGCAGTGTTGACTCCAATAGGTTATGCAAAAGTTTTAAACGACGATCTCGCATGACCTGTCAGCACTTGGAGTATGTGTTGGGGATCAGTCTCGGCTACTACCACACCAAATGTCAGCTCAATAGCTTTAAAACTGGTTGAGCTGCAGCCATGTTTGAGTTCCTGATCAGCTGCAACCGGCGTCTTGAAATGGGTCGACTCCACAGTGAATCTAATGATGAGGATATTTTGCCAACACAGAGCGGTAAAGCTCCGGTCCGACTGACTGACCTGTAAGAGCTCTCTCATAGTGTTTCCCCATGGTCACAAAGTTCTTCAGACTGGGGTTGAACTGGTCCAGAATGCCCTGTTTCATACACAGAAATGTAACTCATAAATCAATTTTAATAATTGGACCCTTCAAGACTGAAAAAAGTGCAGTTTTCACCTTGTAGACGTTCTCCGTCATCTTGTTGACCTCCTCGGTGCGAGACATTTTCTTCTCTTGCAGATCTGCAGCCACTAGATTGATGCTCGTGTTCTTTCCCCTTCGCTGTTTAAGCTTTACAGACGTCAACAATTGTCTAAAAAAAAAAAAAAAAAGGAAAAGAAAGGCTTCATGAAGAATTTTAACCACCTTGGTGGAGTTGATAGTGTTCACTACTAAGACAATTTCCCAGGAAAAGTTGGAGGGCCACCGTCAGCCATCACAAGTGAAACAGACCATCTTGGCAGAGGCATTTTCCCAGTTTCCACACTTTTCGCTTCACAACTGTACACCAACCCAAATATTTCTCCAGGATTTGTGTGCCGCCTCAGATAAGAGCTCCTCCAAGCCGGAGTCACTGATGTCAGAGCTCTGAACCAACACGACACGTTTACTTTTCCCCTCAGCAGAGGGGACCATGAGGATGGGAACCACTGCGGGGTCACAGGATTTTCCAGTCTGGATTAAATAGCCAAAGACTCACTCGATTTTTTTTTTTTTTTTTTTTTTTCTTTCTGCGCAACCCTCCCTTTTGTAATCACCGAGAGATTACAGAGAAAATGTTGACCCACATCAAGCTATACGACACAAAGAAAACATTTCCAGACTCTTGAACATTAGGGCCACAATGATCAAGTCTATTATTTGTCAGAGGGGACTTTGTCCCAAAACATCTGAAACAGTTTCAAGAATTAAAGTGGCCAAATCTGAGCTTCATTAGGGTTAATTCTGAGAAATTAAAGTGCCATTTGTTTCAGGATCCAACAGGAAAAGTCTGCAGGTGGTTGGGAACTGATACAGACGGTGCATTCATGGTACTTAGTCACTTTCAATTTCCTCCAAACTGCATATTTTTAACATTTAGTTTGCAAAACATACGAGATTAAAACAAAAATTGTGGATTAGTTATGCTTTAAGGAATATTATTGCACATTTATTTAATGGCAGGGACAAAGTCAGGAGCCACTGCTTAAAAACAAAATCTAATATATAGAATTTGTCTCAGATTTGTGAACAATTCTGCATTTTTAAGGTTTTGAAGGCATTTTATCCTGTTTTAAAGGTGACATGCTCTCATTTACATTAATACAAAATCTCCAGTTTATATCTGAATGAACCTTTCTTTTGGACTCGAGTGCAGTGTTAGGGTCAGTGGTGTTTAAGTCAAAGCATAATGTAGTTAGTTATTAAAACAGTGAATGATCCTCTAAGGAATAGAGACTAATCCCTAAGATTTGTCCTCACAGTTCAGTAACCTGCTGATCTTCAGCTCCGTAATAAAAAAGATCAGCAACATAAAGAAGAAGAAGACGTTACATACCTTTTCTGGGATCATTGTGGGAAATGATAAAGACTTGCTGCACGTCATCCAGTTAATGAACAGTAAAACACCCCCTCTTTTCTTCCTATTAGGCTACTTTCCCTCTTCGTTAGTTAGTGGGGGGTTGCTTCATCCAGCAGAGCACTAAATCTCACCTCCCCTCCACCTCCTTTTTCACATGGCCTCTCTCTCTTTTTCTTTCTTCCCCCTCCTTCCTCAGCCTCCTTTTTCCTCCCGGGAATCAGGGTCAGATATTCAGTGTTGTTCAGTACCTTTCTTCATTACCGAGTCGATTACCAACATGCCCTCCAGCCTGGAAAATTTTTTAAAAAAGAAGTCCACCGGTCAGAAAGCCCACCAGCTCCACCTCGAGCAGTACAATCAGCTCCCTGCAGTTGGGGAGCCACGGTCAGGCTCCCACTCTCCCAGTCCCTCTGTCACTCGGGCAGAATAACAATGAGCCAACAGGACTTCATCTGAATAGCAGCAGGAGGAGAATAATGACTTGAACTTTTTAAGCCAAAGACGGAGCAGCACAGGCTGGCCCATCACTGGCCTACATACAGCCAGCCCATCACACATTCCTGCTCCCCATTCTCAGAGGAGGAGGAGGTGGAGGTGGGGGCCCCACCATGGACACAGCCTGGCCTTTCATTTACTGCCATAAACTGAGCAGATTACAGAGCGATGGAAGAAATGATGGCAGTGCATTGAGTTTACACTTTATAGACCTGAGTCACTTTACGCTGTGCTCTGCCAAGAATAAAGCTGGGATTTAAGGAAATATTGGGCTGAAAAATTAACAATTAATCCATCACCACAGGCACAAAGATCTGTCTCAGATACAGTCCTGAGCAAACAGTTTAACTCCTCGTCTCCTTTGCTGCCAAGACAGCAGATTTATTGAACACTTCAGGTTTTCTGAAGGACTTTCCAAGGTCGTACTTAGACTTTAGTAGATTTCTTTCATTCCTAGGAAGCAAAAAAATAAATAAAATATTCAAGACTTTTGCACAGCACAGTTCCTCTCTACTCAAATTTTATTTTCAGGAGTAAAAACACGAACAGAAAATGAATAAAGGTCATAAAACAAAGAGAAACTGTTTAAAACACATGTAAAGTACTAAATTTCCCTGCCTTCCTGATCACAACTAAAAAGAGAGAGAAATATGTAAAGTTGTTGCTTCAAAAGGTGAAAAAAGGTTTTTGCTCCTAAAAAGTAAAAAAAAAAAACAAAAAAAAAAAACTGAATTGCATCTCTAGAAATATTGAGGAGAAACAAATGTTTTTAGTTTATTTGACTAAATAAATTCAGCAGCAAGATTTGATCAAATACACACAGTCCAGACATAAATTTTTGTTAAGACGTTGTCTCTCAAGGTTTCACAGGTTAGAAGCCAGGAATGCAGACTGACACGAGGAGCTCAAATAAAATTAACTTATTCAAGAAAAACAAAATGGCTGACATGGCAGAAAAAAACTTTCATAACTCAGAATTAAGCACAAGGATGCAAAGACGAGTCATACAGATGCAAATAGTAAATCCCACGGGATGCAAGAACAAGTCACACGGAATGCAAGAACGAGTCAGACAGGACGCAAGAACGAATCACACAGACACAAGAAGGAGTCACACGGGACGCAAGAAGAAGTCACACAGGAAGCAAGAACGAATCACATGGGACGCAAGAACGAGTTACACGGACGCAAGAACAAGTCACAAGGTTTCAGAAAAGGAGAGAACACAAAGATTTTACAAGGACACAAGAACAAATCTCACAGACGTGAAAAGGAACACACGGATGCAAGAACAATTCACACAGATGCAAGAACGAGTCACACGGGACGCAAGAACGAATCACACGGGATGCAAGAACGAGTCACATGGATGTGAAAAGGAACACACAGACGCAAGAACGAGTCACACGGGATGCAAGAACAAATTACACAGGATGCAAGAACAAATTACACAGGACGCAAGAACAAATTACACAGAACGCAAGAACGAGTCAAACGGATGCAAGAACGAGTTACACGGACGCAAGAATGAGTGACAAGGTTTCAGAAAAGGAGAGAACACAAAGATTTTACAAGGACGCAAGAACGAATCACACTGACGTGAAAAGGAACACACGGATGCAAGAACAAGTCATATGGATGCAAGAACGAGTCACACGGGATGCAAGAACGAATCACACGGGATGCAAGAACGAGTCACACGGATGTGAAAATGAACACACAGATGCAAGACCGAGTCACACAGATGCAAGATCAAGTTACACAGGATGCAAGAACGAGTCACACGGTACACAAGAACGAATCACACGAGACGCAAGAATGAGTGAAACGGACGCAAGAACGAATCACACCGGACGCAAGAACGAGTCACACGGGACGCAAGAACGAGTCACAAGGGACGCAAGAACGAGTCACAAGGGACGCAAGAACGAGTCACACGGTACGCAAGACCGAATCACACGAGACGCAAGAACGAGTCACACGGATGCAAGAACGAATCACACGGGATGCAAGAACGAGTCACAAGGGACGCAAGACCGAGTCACACAGTACGCAAGACCGAGTCACACGGTACGCAAGAACGAATCACACGGTACACAAGAACGAATCACACGAGACGCAAGAACGAGTCAAACGGACGCAAGAACGAATCACACGGGACGCAAGAACGAGTCACACGGGACGCAAGAACGAGTCACACGGGACGTAAGAACGAGTCACAAGGGACGCAAGAACGAGTCACACGGTACGCAAGAACGAATCACACGAGACGCAAGAACGAGTCACACGGACGCACACGAGACGCAAGAACGAGTCACACGGGACACAAGAACGAATCACACGGGACGCAAGAACGAGTCACACGGGACGCAAGAACGAGTCACACGGACGCAAGAACGAGTCACAAGGTTTCAGAAAAGTAGAGAACACAAAGATTTTACAAGGACACAAAAAGGAATCACAAATATGCAAAAACGAATCACACAGTCTCAGAAATGAGTCACAAGAACAAAAATCAATGTTTTTAGAAGAAAAAACTTCTAGTAAATTGAGCTTTAAAATAAGTGTAATGTGGCAAAGTGTAAGATCTTCTTCTAAGACTGTAGGAGAAAACTAACATCTAGATACACATTAAAATCCCCTTAGTGTAACATTTACACAAACCTTAGTTTGTATCACAGGAACAGGTGAATTTAAGACTTACTCGTGCAGTTTCAGCTTTTCCCCGGGAGATGGCGGTGTTGTGACGTCACTTCCCGCTGTCATTGACCTTTATTAACATGGTGCGTTGAGTTGCTGCAAGTCCAGATTTTCACCATGATCAAAATACAAACAGCTAGAAACACAAGAGAAGAACTTATATGTTCATACCTTTTTATTTTTTACTAGTTAGGGACAAACAGACCTCAAAGTACAAAATAAAAATATAAAAACATGATCTTTCTGCTATCTGAAACAGTGGCTTCCAAACTTTAAATGATTGCTGATAATTTTATGAAAACAGTGGCTTTAAAAGTAATGCAATTGTAATTTAAGTGGTTTGTGTTGCCATTCTTTAATTCAATTATCAATGTTTGCAAAGAAACTGATGAGACTACGAGTCTTCAAGAGCTGATGACTTTGCAGAAGAACCTGAATGAGGCCTCCTGGTTTCCAGGTCCCGCAGACCAGGGTGTTTAATGTGGTTTTGGGTCACTCGTTTCAGGGTCAAGAGGAAAAAACTGGAGCTTCTGTAGTTTTATGTCCTTTGGACCTGAGCTGTAAAGTTGTTTGTGTTTGCACTCACTTCCTCGAGACCTAATTCACACACGCTAAGGAGATTGACAGGCGGGGAACCGCAGCACAAACTGACCCACTAAACCAAAAGAAAAACATGAGTCATCCTCTCACGACTGCCGACGGTCTAAAACTGTTGATCCCTCACCTGAGCTGTGGTGGATTTTAAAACTGAACAAAACTTTTCTATACTAAATTAACAACCAATTCACAGCTTAACACACAAAAAAAGATTGTTAAAAGTATTTTACTTCATTTAGACAAACCATCTGCAACCCTGAGATTTCTGTTGGAATAGATAACTTTAACTTGGCTGCAGGGGCACTGCCAGGAGGGGGGCTTTGAGGGGCAATATGGCCATAGTGGTGGCCACCCACTGGACCCCCTCAGCCAGACTGTTTTATCCTCTTGAGCTTTTATGCGGTGTGCATTTTTTTATTTCCTTTAATAAAATAAAAACATTGTTTTGAGCAAACATTTTATTTAAAGTACACAAAAAATTATATCAAGGTTTTAGTACAGAATGGCACTCAAAGTGCAGACAGAAACTCAAAGGACTCTGAGGTAAAAATAAATAAACTAATTTATTGAACACGAAAACAAAAAGACCAACATGGCAGCAAAAATACTTACAACCAAAAACACTGGAAGACTCAGAGGAAATGACCATGAATGGCTCGGGAGCACAATGCACAGACAAGGAAGTGATAAAATGACACAGGGTTTAAAGGGACTTTAATATCAGGCAATGACAAACACCTGGTGAGGAGCAGGTGAGAATGAGAGGGGCGGAGCTTTGCTACATGAGAGGAAAACACTGAGGAAGCTGAATACACAAATAGAATCAAATTCACAGAAATCTAAATACGACTGCGATGAGAGGAAATGAGAGCCGTTGACACTGTCAAGAGCGTCTTGTTGTGAGAAAACGAAACGTTCTCTGGAGAGGCGAGCGGATGGATGACGGAGAGAGAAAAGATGAGTCAGCAATTTGGTAAGGCGGTTGGCAGCGGCTGGGCTGTGAATGGGCAGGAGGTTGCAGAGGGAAGTTCTGGATCAGGAAGTGAGTTTGATGAAATGGAAGAAAATAGTGGCGGAAATGAAGAAGATTGGAGTAAGTTAGCTGCTTCAAAAAGCAGAAAAAAGCGTAAAAAGCAGACATCAGCTGAAGATATTTCTAACCCAGAAAATGATGAGGAAAATGAACTAGTAACTAAGAA